CCCATCTAAGACTAGCAGGTAAATAATGGTAACAGATTGGTAAGAACCCCATCTAAGACTAGCAGGTAAATAATGGTAACAGATTGGTAAGAACCCCATCTAAGACTAGCAAGTAAATAATGGTAACAGATTGGTAAGAACCCCATCTAAGACTAACAAGTGTCAGTAACTGTTGGATATACAAGACTGTTTAGTGTAAGAGTTATTATTTAGTTCATTCAGTGATCTAATATTTAATAATTATTTAGTTTTCATAACAAGAGTGTTAAAGTGTATATATAGGTGACCAAGCAAGCACAAAGAAAGTTAGAAACTGTGAAGTTAGCCAGTGTGTGAGTGATTAGCCCTAAATGAGTGATATTTTATAGCGAGTCTCACAGTTTGAGAGAGATAAGAAGAATAATTTGTCTTGTGAAAGTGTGTTCTAAAGTAATTGAACCAGTTTGTGTGAACCTTGACAAAAAAAAAAAGAGAAAAGTATATAAAGTTCAGATTACAACTGTGGTAACCCACATGATAATGCAAGTGAATCATTCACTGATACTGTTGTTGTAAGGGTAGATAAAAATAATGTGTCAAATGGATTCTAAAGTAAGTGAATCAGCCTGTGGGGACTTTTGACAGGAAAAGAGAATTATGTAGAGTTTTATATAAAACTGATATCCTATAGTGTAAAGAATTTTTGTACATACGTTTGACTTGTTTTGAATATATTATTTTAAAACAAGTGGATTATGCACTGTCAATATATTGTTCAAATTTATCTCCAAGTCACAGACACCTACAGTAAAAGAATCCAAGCTTATCCATATTTAAAACCCTCACAACACTGTACTACTTTGCAAAACAATGGAGGCACATATCCCCAGTGTCCCCCACCCCATTCCATCACCTATGGGCACATTTATCTATGAAAAAATATTTAGCGTAAGTGGTGCTGCAATGTGACCTTGAAGCCATATATGTGTATAAGGTGATATAATAGAAAATAGCTTAATTCAGAAACGATTCAAGTTTAAATTTGAATCAATATTTTTTATGCACTTGGCTCTAGGCTAGGTGATCTAACACTGTTTTTATTTTAGGATTATTATACCATCACTCACTACATGTATAAGGTTTCCTAACCCCCTTGCACCCCCATCATTAAAACTGTAAAGAGCAGACAGTAATCAAACTATTCTATCTGGATAAGTGCATTTAAACTTTTACGACTCCTCCCATTTCGAGAAATCAAGCGTGACGTGACACACTGGCATTGAAGTGAGTTAGATATTGATCACAACTGAGAGCATCATTTTAATCCAGTTTACCCAATTAAGCCATTATTTAGATTTGATCCCAGCAAAACGTTAGGTATGATTTTACCTAAACATTTTGAGACATTAAGAATGGTTTTATGTAAAAGTATAAATTGAAGGGAAACCATTTATAGAAATTAACTAAAACGAATTTGCCTGTACCTCCAAAATGTACCTACTTTTCACTTACACTATCCTACCAAAATTCATGGGACACGGGTAGTTCTGGATAAAACACGTCTTTATTCCAAGAAATTAATAGTCCTTTGCCTTAATGACTGCTTCAGTGTGTTGTGGAAGACTGTTTACCAATTTCTGGTACAGAAGCTGGTTGTATTGTGCTCCACTCCTCCTTTAAAGCATTAGTAAGCTCCAATACTGAAGAGGATCATCTTAGCCTTGCCCTAATTCTGCATTACATTTCATCCCAAAGATGTTCTATCGGGTTGAGGTCGGGGCTCTGTGCTGGTCACTGCAATGTTCCTATGTTATTCTCATCAAACCACGTGTTCACAATCCTTGCTTTTTGACATGGAGCATTATCATGTTGGAAAGTGCAAGGTCCAGTATGATAAAATTGCTACAATGCAAGAAACACAGAATTGTTCAGAACATCAATGTAGGGCTAAGTATTCATGGATCTATTATACAGAAAAATATATATATATATATTAGATTTTAAAAGAAAAAATTACTCACTTGAGATCCTAACTTGCCCCTTGTTGCTTACTAACCTTTGAGAATCATTGTTTGAGTTAAATTTCCAGAAAACGTGAAGCACAACATACAGAAAAAAAAATGTTTGGCACAAAATGAGTTTGAATATAAACTTACAAACTGTGGTAGAGTCATCCAATCTAGAGATTTGCCAGTTGGCAGAATCTGGAGTGGCACCTTTAGCATTTCTACTCATTTGTCAAAAAGAATTGCCAACTTTAGTTCAGCCAGTAATAATGCTAGCAACTACAAACCGTTTTGCATTTGTAGGCTCTACATGCTGTTTTACTGACTTTATATTTTTAATGTTGTAGTTTTATTTTTCTTGAAGAGGGGCGCTTGTTGGATATACACGATTGTTTAGTGTAACAGTTATTATTTCATTCATTCAGTGATCTAATATTTAATGATTGGTTTTCATAGCAAGAGTTAATTATTTTAAATATGATAGTTATGACAAATTGTTACATAACTTGGTAAGAGTCATACGTTCAATTGTTGGATATACACGATTGTTTAGTGTAACAGTTATTATTTCATTCATTTAGTGATCTAATATTTAATGATTAGTTTTCATAACAAGAGTTAATTATTTTAAATATGATAGTTATGACAAATTGTTACATAACTTGGTAAGAGTCGTATGTTCAATTGTTGATGTAACCTTTCTCAAAACCCAAGTTTTTCTTGCTATACGAGTATTGTTACATCATAGCATCTCCTAATTTGTAGAAAGTTCCAGGCCTCAGTTGGACGAGGTATATAGGTGACCAAGTAAGTGTAAGTCAAGTGAAGTTAGACTGCATGATTGTTACTCTAGCCGTAATGGTGGACATCGTAAAGTGATAAGGAGAATAAGTTGTTTTGTCAAAGAATGTTCTAAAGTAATTGAACCCGTTTGTGTGGACTTTGACAAAAAGGAGATAACAATTAAAAGTTCAGGATACAACTGTGGTAACCCAAGGGGTAGCATTAGTGAATTATTCACTGATACTGTTGTGATAAGAGTAGAGAAAAATAATTCGTCTTGTCAGTTTGATTCTAAAGTAATTGAATAAACCTGTGTGGACTTTTGACAGGAAAAGAGAATTATTTAAAGCTTTAGATACAACTGTGACATCCTATAGTGTAAAGAATTTTTGTACATACATTTGACTTTTTTGAATATATTTCAAAACAATTGGATTGTGTACTGTCCATTTATTGTTCGAATGTATCGCCGACAAGCCACAGAAACCTACTGTAAAGAACCCTATCCAAGACTAACAGGTAAGTGTTGGAAACAGACTGTAAAGAACCCTATCCAAGACTAACAGGTAAGTGTTGGAAACAGACTGGTAAGAACAGTTTTAGTAATTTTTAATGTGGTTACTGTTATTATTCTGCTACAAAGCAAGGTTTTTTGGGAGAGATAGTGCTGATGATACCACATTCTTCAAACCCTTTAATATTGTGCTTAACTTTGTGAATCTCTGGTAAAACTGAAGAGAGAAAAAAGTTCTAAACGTACTCAAACATTTGGCAACTACTAAACTGGATTAATACTCTGGGTAACTAGAACCATTTGAAATGTGGTTCTTTAGTTCCCATCTTGTAACACTTAATATCAGAAATAAATTAAAATTTAGTATCTTAAGGATTTATATATGATCAAACACTAAGATAAAGCACTGAAAGCTAATATTGCAACGTAAAGAAAACAAATGTTACATCTCGCCATCAAGCACCGAGTGTTTCATATATGAAAACATAATAAAACCAATATAGCTTCAATAGCTAAGGGCATATATGCATGTAGGTTTTTCTATGACTAACAGGTTCTTATCATTGACACTTGCCAATGAGGGCTAAAACTGCTTGAAACTTCACTCTTATTACAGATTTTATAATGAACCTTAAAGTAAACAGAAATTTTTGTTATAATTAAGCATGTATTTCAATTTAAGTCTTTTATTGAGTAATAATGGTACAAGAACCGAGATTACAATTTCTCAAATACAAAATCTCTGTTACGACTTTTCTAGTACAAAAATAAACACTAGTAGCAAGTCAGATTGAAACTTTTATCACTGCCGAGATTTTCCAAACACTATATTGCTAGTTTTATACTTATTTACTGTTTATTTGTTATTAAGTATACTTTGAATAATCGTAACTCAATTTATAAAAAAAGATATAAAATAAACATTTGTTAAATATTCAAAACACACATTATAAAAATATCTCGTGTAACACCTCTAACCAGCTTGTAATAAGTTATACTGTTCTAATAAAACAGCAAATGTATCAGTGTTATTTTAGAGAAAGAACAAAGGTAGCTACCCCACCTAACTTTTTTTCCGTAATTACACTTGTGTCAGTATTAGTTATAAACATAAAAAATACCTTCAACTTGTTTCTTAGAAATATAATAGTTTACAATATGACCCACTTAATCAATTAATTGATTTCGAAATTTGAATATGTTTTTCTGTATTTTTATAAAGTTATTCACTACCTTTTTTATATAAATTTTCAAAGGCACAAAGATAAGATTCAGTAAAATCAACTTACCCAGCTGTTATTTCAGTAAAATCAACTTACCCAGCTGTTATTTCA